GCCACAGCCACGGGGCCACCGACGCCTCCATGTACGAGCACCTCGCGGTCCAGAGGGAGGAGGGCCAGGTCCCGACGATACCTATCCCGACATTCCCGGCGTGGACAGCCCAGGGGCCGACTGGTGAGCGCGCGGAGCACCTCCGGCAGTGCTTGCAAAACCCCGCCACCTGGGAGCTCGCAGACGCCTCTACTGGGCCCTGGATTTCCCGACGGTGCGAGCCGCCAGAGGCATGTTGCCCGCTGGTGCGCGCTGGATCTCGAACGCGGCTTCAGTCTTCACGGGGAAGGGGGCCGACGAGCACGACAAAGGCCCCGACGCCGAGTGGCTCTGGCACTTCGGCGCCCTGCCGGAGGAGGCTGCCCAGACGGGCGAGGCCCGCGACCTCGGCCAGGTGGGCGGTGGAGCCCCCGGGCGGTGAAGTCCCCTCTGGCGCTGGAGCCCCCGGGCGCTGCCAGTCGCCGACTCGGGATGAAGAGCTGGTCCCTGGGAAGTGGTCGGGAGGTCTAGGATCGAAGGTAGGCGTGTGAAACTCTCGACTGCCTGCTCCTACTCCTTCTCCTGTCCCAGGTACCCCCCACCCCCAGCTCAGACGGACCCGAGGCGCGGCTAGCTGCTGAACTTCGCCCCGAAAAGATCGAACTGGCCGTCGTCCGTGCTCTCTCGCTCTGGCACCCGCGCCAAACGGCGGGGCAGGTCCCGAGCCGGGGCCCCCACCCAAGCCGAAGGTGCGGCCCATCCAGATGGGCGAGCTCCTCCGGAAGGTCGTCAGCACGCGCATCCTGGCGGCCGCCCGCGGCGGCATCGATGAGGCTGTGCTGCGCGCGCGGCAGTGGGGCGTCGGCGCGGACGGCGGCGCAGAGGGCATCATGCATGCTGACCTCGCGGTGGATCGCATTTTGCTCAATGACGAGCTGCCGCGTGCACTCGCGAAAGTGCAGGTGGGTGCGGAGAACTGGTTCGGTCGGCTCGAGTGGGGTGCCATTCGGGAGGAGGTGACCAAGGAGGTTCCCGAGCTGGGCCCTTCCGTTGCGTGGAAGCACAGGCAGGTTTCGTGCGTGGAGCAACCTGGCGTGCCCCCTCAGGTCAAGGACCGGGGGGCCGAGCAGGGGGGCACCTTCGGGCCGACCGAGACGGGAGTGGCGCTTGCCTCCTTGGGCCGCCAGACGAGGCGAGCAGTGCGCGCCATTCAAGTCACGGGGGAACTCCCGTGGGCGACCCCCGATGGAGCCCAGGTCACGGAGCACTTCCGCGAGGTCGAGGCCCGGGCGCTCGAGTGGGGCCGGAAGCAGCCCATCGAGCGCGCCGCGCTTAACGAGGCAGGCTCCCGCGTGTCGCACTCGGCGAAGGCGACCCAGCAGGGCGGGCGTGTTGTGGCCGTGTGGTACCTCGACGACGGGACCATTTACTTGCTGCCGGAGCTGGCTGCCCCATAATTTCCTCAAGGCGTACGAAGGGTCGCAGACTTCCGCACCAAAGCCTCGATCGCCCAGATGCACGACAAGGTGCGGCGAATCGGAGGCTCGGGGGCAGAACTGGCGCTTTCCCAAGCGTGTCGTGGGGTGGCCAAGGTGACCCACCTGCTCCGCGCGTGCGGCGACGAGCTGGTGGAGAAGGCCGACGCCCTGTGGTCCTTCGGCCGCGTCCAGAAGGGCACGCTCGACAAGCTCGCCCCTGGCTGCGACGCAGAGGCCCGGGACCAGGCGTCCTTGAGCATGCGGGTGGGCGGGCTGGGCATGAGGCGTGCCCGCGGCGTCGCCCTGCCCGCGGTTGTTGCCAGCCGCGCGACGGCGCGGGCAAAGGTGCAGCAGTTGGACTTCGAGTCGGCGAAGGCTGGCCTCCTCCGAGCAGGGCAGCTCCTAGCTGAGCACGACGCCGCCGCCCGGATGTCGGCGGGAATGCTGCGTGCCGAGCTCGACGGTGCCGAGGTGGCCCAGGCCGAGCGGCTCGTTGTCGAGGCGGCCGACGCCGCCGCCGCGGCATGGGCGCGCCGCATGGAGGGCAAAGGCGGCTAGGCAGTGGCTTCGCGCGCGCACTGGGCGGCGCTCGCGGAGGACGAGCGGGTGGCGCCGGCAGGCGGCGCAGAGGAGTCGCTCGGGGGAGGCGTCGCTGCTGGCGACGGCCCGTTTGGGAGCGGCGACGACGGCGTCGATGCCTTGCCCGAGCGCCGAGGCGAGGGGGGCGGCGCGCGACTGACCGTTACCAGCGTGCAGCGCCAGCTCGGCAATCTCGTGGACAGCTCGCGCCTGCGCCAGAGGGTCGAGGGGCTCGGGGCTGGTGGGCGATTCCCCGACATGCGGCGCCTGCAGGAGCTCCGCGACCCGTCTGTCGACCAGAGCTGGGTCCGGCGCCTCGACTTCTGCGAGGGGCCCGTGTTGCGTGAGGAGGATTATACCCTTTGCCTGCAGCTGCGGCTCGGCGCGGGCGTGGTGCCAGACTCTTACAAATGCCCTGGGCGTGGCGGCCTCGTCGATTGTCGACTCTTCCACAGCGCGTGCTGCGCCAGTGCCGAGCGCGCCAAGGGGCACTGCGCGGTAGTCCGCGCCATGTTCGAGCGCATGCGCGAGGTCGATAACGGGGCCACGCTCGAGCAGCGGGGTTTGGTGGAGGCGGAGCCTGGCGCCCGGCCTGGCGACATCTTCACGGCGGCGGCGGTGCCGAATCGCGAGGCGGGCGGTGGACGTGGCGATCGTCGGCCCGGAGGCCGCCGCCGCGGGGGCCGACTGCGCGGCGACCGCCCACGGCGGCAAGTTCGAGAGGTGCTGGGCCGTGGTCGCCGAGTGGGGTGACGCGGGCCCGTGCCTTCAGCTGCTGGTCTGGTCCTGCGAGGGCCGCGCCCGCCCCGACGTCGAGCGGGTCATGGTTTTCTGCGCCGAGGCCCTCGCGAGGAGGGCGAGCGAGAACCCCTGGGACGTGCCCCGGCGCTGGAAGGCCGACGTCGGGGACGTCGGGGTGCCCCTCGCTGAGCGGCGCGCGAGGATGGAGAGGCGTTGCGTGCCAGCGCGCGCCGCCCGCGCCTCCCGGGTCGTCCACGGCGGGGGGCCAGCGCGCGGCCCAGGGCGCCCTGGGCGACTGCCTCGCCGGTGCCGACGAAGCGCCGGCGGGGGAGCCCGCCTGGCAGTGATTCGCGCCGGGCGGACCGAGGTGTTCTCCACTGCGCCGCCTCTCATGCGCGCCGTTCAGCTCAGGCAGTGCACGCCCTCTCCTGTCCTCCCCCCTCTGCCTTTTCTCCTTCCTGTCGCGCTCCGCCTCGGCTTGCCCTGTTTCTTCTTTTTGAGGCTTGGGCGCGCGCGCCTGGCGGCGGGGTCTGGTGGCTCGCGCCCCGCGGCCGCGTCCGTGCCCCGCGTGCTCTCTCCCCGCGTCCGGCGCAGCGATCGTCTCTCCTCCTTTTCCTCGTCCTCCCCCTCTTTCCACTCGAGGCTCCTGGCGTGGGAGTGTCCGGGTCTGTTTCCCGTCGCGCGTTTTCCACCCTCCGGCAAAACCCCGCTGGAGCGGCCTGGAGGGCCATCCCGTGTGAGAAACGTAGGACAATAATCATGCCGTTTCTATGCCAGACCCCCAGGCGGCACGGTTATTTTTTGAGGTTTCTGCAAGTTTTGAATCGCGATTCGGCGTGGCAGGGCAGCCCCGCGGCAAGTGCAATTTTCGCCTGTACGTTCTAGCGTCGCCCCCTGTTTGTTTGGCGATGATCGTCGTCTTCCTTTTCCTTGTCCTCCCTCCTCTTCCTCCTCCTCCTCGCCCCCTTTCCTGTCGTGCGGGATGTGTGCGGTGGCGTTCGGCCCTCTCGTGCAGCACGTGCAAATTAAATTCCTCGCGATCTCACTGGTGCAATCCGGCCGTGTCCTTGGGTTTGCCGGGCGTGTGAGGTGGGGTCTGCGCTTGGTCGTGTTTCATGGGAAAAATTCCACCGTACTTTCTCTTCCCTGAAGTATCCAGGGCGTGGGTCCGCCCTCTCCGAATCCTGTCTGTGCGCGCAAAAGTGTCCAAGGCTGGGCCGAGTTGAGTTTTCCTATGTGCTTTTACCATCTCATTGGTGATGCCCCCGCTGCAGCGAGAGCATCATTTTCGGATCGGCGCTCTACTCCCGTCGTTCAGACGGGCGCTCTCGCCACAGCGTGGTCCTCGTTCGTGGATCCCAACAGGTCTTGCGGGTCCCGCAAGTTTCGCAGGTCTCGCAGGCCCCACAAGTCTGTCACACAGGTGTCAGGTCGTCCCACAGTTTCCAGAGGTCTGAGAGGTTCCAACAAGTCCCACAGGTCTCACAGATGTCACAGGTTTCGCAGGTCCTACAGGTCCCACAGGTCCGACAGGTCCCGCAGGACCCACCGGTCCCACAGGTGTCAGAGGTTTCTAGGGTTCCAGAGAGGTCCCCCAGGTCCCCCAGGTCCCACAGGTCCCGCCAGTCCCCCAGGTCCCACAGGTCTCGCAGGTCTCGCAGGTCCCACAGTTCCCACAGGTCCCACAGGCACCACAGCTCCCACAGGTACCGCAGGTGTCGCAAGTCCCACAGGCCCCACAGGCCACAGAAACGCCCCAGGTCGCACAGGTCTCATAGGGTCCGCAGGTCCCACAGGTCCGACAGGCCCAGTTCCCACTTGCCCAGCAGGTCTCACAGGCCACGAAAGTCCCGAATGCTCCACATGTCCCACAGATCGCACACGTCACACAAATGCAATTTACACCACGTGTCCCACCGGTCACCTTTGCTGCTATTAGGATGCTTGGCTGGGGTAGTTGCGTTTCGAGTCGGCTAAGTTATGACACGCGCCCGCGGATAGAGAGAAGCCAACGCAATCTGAAGGAAGGGGATGGGAGGGAGGGATAGGATTTCAGATGTGGCGCGAGCGCATCTAACTTGCCCCCCCTTCGCCCTTTACCCCCGAACGTCTCCACCACATTCCCCCTCCACCTCCTTCTCTCCTCCTTCCCTTCCCCTTCATATTATTCGTGGGAGATTACGCCGTGTCGGCCTGGATTTCGTCGGCCTCCCCCCCCCCAAGCTTGGTGGTGCACCCCGTGCACGGCCGCATCGCGAGAAACATGGAGCGGGGTGGCGTCATGGTGCCGCTGCTGGTGGAGCTGAGCGGGTCGGCCTCTTCGGCTTCCGCATGCCCCGACAGGTGTGACGAGAAAGGCGGAGGAGGAGGATGAGGAGGATGAGGAGGAGGAGGACCAGTGTAAGCCCACGAGTCATCGACGAAGTTGGAGTAAACCCTCCCTCCAAGCTACCTCCTCATAGGCCCCTACAACGGTTCATTTCCATTGATGGAGCTGCCTCGTTGGAAGACACCCGTTTGAAGACCCTGAAGCATGCCAAAACATTGTTCTCGGGATTCCAACGCCACGGATCAGCCTGACTGTTGCATCTTGACGATCCTGAATCGTACCAGAACGCCATTCCAAGGACTTCAACACAAAAGCCAGCGTAACTGATGCACCCGCATAATCCTGAATCCTTCCCAAACACCATTTCTTGCACGTTGATGATGGGAGTCCGTGAAGGAAATTGTTAGAACGAATGCGCGCCGCGCTAAGACGAGAGCCGCACTTTGAAACGGAACCGCCCTCAATCCGTGAAGCTCTCGCATCTTTTTGAACGAATGTGCGCGGCGCTAAGGCGACAGCCACATTTTGAAAACGACTCGCCCTCAATCCGTGAAACTCTTGTAATTAAAGAAACGAAAATGCGCCGCGCTAAGGCGAGAACCACATTTTGAAAACGACTCGCCCTCATTCCGTAAAACTTGTTGACGCTTCGCGAATCCCCACCAGCCCATCCAGAAACAATGCCCACAGGAATTGCCTCGATCAGGGAAGTCGGCAGCATACAGAGGAAGCCATTATGAGACATCTGGGGATATCTTGAGCCATCTTGGAGGTCATTTTGGGCTCTCCCAGGCGCTCTTGGAGTCATCTCAATCAGTGCCCCCCCCCAAGAGGCCAGCATGTGGCAAAAACCTTCGTAAAATTAATGATTTGGCATTCTCGCCGAGGCCTCTTGGGGCATCTTGGGTGCCTCTGGGGGGTCTCTTGGGGCCTCTTGGGGGTCTCTTGGGGGCCTCCTGTGAGCCTCTTGGGGGCCTGTTGGGGCCATCTTGGGGCCATCTTGGGACCTCTGGGGGCCTCCTGGGCGCTTCTTGGAGCCATCTTGGAGGAGATCGATCAAACAAGAGGGGAGCTTTAATTAGGGCCCCCCCTCAGGAGGCCAAATGGGGCCCAAACCTTAGTAAAACCAATGATTTTTGCTTCCTCGCCGAGGCCGTTTTGGACGCCCTGACACCTCGCGAACCCCCCCGTCCAGCTCCAGGGGAGCGGGTAGGGGGAGGGGTAAACCCCTCCCCGAAGGGGAAGAAGGAGGGGTGGAAGAGGAAACTCCCTAAACCACCGACGTCCAGAGGGCTGGTGGGATTCTTGTTAGAACGAATGTGCGCGGCGCTAAGGCGAGAGTCACATTTTGAAAACGACCCGACCTCAATCCGTGAAGTTCTTGCAGTTTTTGAAACTAACGTGCGCGGCGCTCAGGCGAGAGTCACATCTTGAAAACCACTCGCCCTCAATGTGTGAAGCTGTTGCCATTTTTAAGCTTCAGAGTCAGAAATGGTGAGGAAGTCTCCGGCGAAACGCCCGGCCCGCCCTAAAAACTGGCCTCGGGGTGCGGCAGGGAGAAGTTATGTATGAGGAAAAGGAATGGAGGGGGAGGAGGAGGAGGAGGAGGAGGAGGAGGAGGAGGAGGAGGAGGAGGCTCGCTGCCCTGGGCGCGAGTGGCGCGCCCGGACGGATCTCCGAGCTCCAGTGCGACGCCGCGGCGGCCGCGCCGCGGCGGGTGCCGGAGGCGGTCGCCTTCGCGGAGGCGTGCCCCACCGATGGGGGGGGGATCGCCAGCTGGGGTGGGGGACGTGCCCTCCAGCGGGGGCTGCCAAGGTCGAGGATCGGGGGTGGACAGAACCCCCAACAGTGACACGTCGATTAGTGAATTGTCCGTTTTCGGTTCTCGAGAGGGCGCCGCGGCCGTTATTTTCCAGGCTGCGCCCGCCAGGTTTGGGCCTCAGGTCGTTTTCACTAAACCACGTTTTACTAAAGGGAGGTCTGTCCACCCCCGAGAGGACGCGCAGGCACGGGGGCGAGGGGCGCGCGGCTCAGCGACGGGTCCCGCTTGCGCAGAGAAGCGGCGCGCTCCGTCGCCAGAGCAGGCGGCAGTGGCATCATGCTTCGGGGTGGGGGGTACTCCCCCGATCCGTGAAATTTGGCGCCCACGCGCCCGATCCACGGATCCCTGATCCATGTCAGCGTGCGTCCGAGAGGGGGGTGATGTCTAGGGGGTAGTGGATCTGACGGCCGGGGCCATTTTTGCCTCCCCCAATTTCTACGGCCCCCGATATTTCTTACGATACGTCCCCCGATCCCCCCCCTCGTCCGCGCACATGCCTGGGGCCATGCCTTGCGAACTCTCCTTTTGGACGCCCTCGACACCAACGCTCGTCGGCCTCACGAGCGACGTCTCGGCGGCGCCTCAAGGAGCCCCTAAGGAGGCTACAGGGAGCCGCGAACGAGCCCCTGAGGAGCTTCGAAGGAGCCTCCAGAGAGCCTCGAAGGAGCCTGCAAGGAGCCCCCAAGGAGCCTCCAAGGGGCCTGGAAGTAGCCCCTAAGGGGCTTCGAGAAGGGGCCCCTAAGGAGCCTCCATGGAGCCTTTCAGGAGCCCCCTGTCACCACGGCTGGGCGCGCCTCGAACAAGTGTGCTGGGTAGAGTTGGTGCGGGACCGAGTGCGAGTGAGGACAGGGCGACGAGGGGGACCATCTGGTGGCCTTCGACACATTTCGCCTGCATCACCTTACTCTAATTCAGGGCGTGCTTCACTTCTAGGGTGCTTCACTTCCAGGGTGCCAGTGTTCTTTGTCACTATGCAATTTAATCACTTTTTGGCCGGTTGCTGCATTCACTCTTTACTTGCCTACATCGACGCATCCTGCAGCCGTGCCTGGGTCGTGGACACGAGGCCTCTCGGGGCTTCTTGGGGCTCTCCTGGGGGTCCTTTTGGGAGCCTCTTCTGGGCTTCTTGGGGACCTCTCGGGGGCGTTTCGGGGACCTCTTGGGGGGTTGCTGGCTGGCCGGGGGGCCATTTTGGGGCGGAGGGTTCCAAATGCCAGAGAGAGAATGCGCTTCACGGACCCTTGCCTTGGGAACATTCGGCGGCGCCTTTCGAACCCAGGGGGGGGGCGCCGTCGATCAGAACCAGGGGGACTCCCCCCCTCCCCCCCGACCCCCCCCCCCCTCCCCACCCCCCCCGCCCCCTGGCGCCGGTCTTTGGCTTTGGCCGCTCGTAGGGGCCTCTTGGGAGCCTCCTGGGCCTCGCTGGCGGGCTTGGGAGGCCCTCTTGGGCGGGTCTTGGGGTGCTCCTGGGCCGTCTTCGGTGGCTTCCAGACCGACAAACCGAGTATGCGAAGAAGGTCGCACGGCTAATGTGGTTTTTTGTTGTTGCAGTGAGTTTGTCCGCTTGGGCGGGCTCCCCGAAGACTTTTAGACACTGCCCAGGAGCACCCCCAGAGAGTCCCAGGATGGCTTCTTGGAGCCTCCAGATGGTTGCAAGTCCTGTCTGAGCGTTCCTTGGGATGATATGGGAGGACACTGGAGCGACTCTGGGCGGGTCTGTCTTCCTGGAGATCCATGAGGCACCCGAGAAGCGCTGGAAGAGCCCGATAGCGTCCAGGCGCACCTAGGAACTCCATGCAAATCTGTGGCCCTCGCCCTGACGACTCCTACAAACCCTTTAATACTCACACTTGTTTGAGCCTTGGGGTACTTCACAACGTGTTGAAGGCACGATGGCGGATATTTTCTGCTGTCGTAGTTCGATTCTATCAGGGAGCTATTTCCCGTCGCCCCTCCACTCCCCCTTCCACCCGCTCCTCAGTCGCTTTCTTGTCTGCACGCTTCGCATATTCCTGCCAGCCCATGTACTAGACGCATTAATACATCGGCATCACCCCAACTTACTTCTACTATATGTTCGTCGCCCCCCCAGGGGCGACGAGCGCACCGGTAAATCTTATAGTATATGCGTCGCGGCGGGCGCTTTCTGGCCACACCTCTCGGGAAACGATGCACTACAAGATGGGTATACTATATGTTCGGGTCGGACATAGTATTAGTATGTCCCTTTGTGTCCCAACACACATTGACACACAGGGTGGCGGCATCCGTCAAAACGAAGCTCGCATGAGCCTGAGCAGACCCACGAATCAACCACATAATGCCTTTACGGATCTGTCGCTCTCGGAGCTTCTTGCAGGCTCGCTCACGGAGCTTCTTGTAGGCTCTCTTTGGACCTTCTCGGGGGGCCTGCGGGTGCCATCTGTGAGGCCATTTGCCAAAGAAGACGCCGGCTTCCGTCATGCCCCCTTGTCGGAGCCAGAAGCACAGGTTCGTCTTGTCCTCTTGGGATGCTCTTGGGGCGCTCTGGGGGGCCCTTGTGGCCGTCTCGGAGCCTTTTGGGCCCGTCTGGAGCCATCTCCATGCCTCAAGAACCAACCGGAAGCGAAAAGGCGAGAAAAGCACACATCATTGAAGCGACTTTCCTGTTTTGAACAGGAAGATTGCTCGCGCGAGTCCTGTGCGGAGGCCCGGTGCTGGGGACATTTTGCGCTTTCTGCCGGGCTCTTGTGAATGTCCTTGGGATCGGATCCGCTCGTGCGTGCTTGCTCATGAGAATCGGTATCGTTTAACCGATCCCCATCCCCATCCCCATCCCCATCCCCATCCCCTTCGAGACCCCCACTAAGTTACCATCTCAGTTGGTGATACACCCTTCGAAACCCGAAAGGAGCGGCCTATATCCCCATCTAGGGGGGCAAATCGGCCAGAGGGGCCCAGGCCACGCCGCTGGGGATGGGGATCGGTTGAGCGATACTCAGAGAAGGGGGAGGCGCAGAAGCAGCACAACAGATACGGACCCCTTGCACGAGACCCCTTGTGCCGTGTGCGCCGGCATTCGTCGCTCCAGCACTCCCTCTCCGATCGACGGATTTTTGCGCCTCGTCGGTAGCCTCTTCGGGAGCCATCCAGGGGTCGTCTTCGAGCCTCCTGGAGGCATGTCTGAGGCCACCTGGATCCAACGTGGTCTATCTTGCGCGCCTTGGAAGGCCTCTCTTGTGCCCTCTGGGGGCACCCGGGAACCATCTAGAGCCATCTTGGACGCTCTGACTGGTCGCGCACCCCCCCCTCCCGTCGGGCCCGCGCGAGGGATTTCCCCGAGTGCAGCGGGCCAGCCCCTCCAGCCCCTGGTTGCGATGATACAGGCGTGGCCTGGCCTCAAGGCGGTCCAATGCGGCCTCCAGGACGGTCCAAGATTGCCTCGAAGGCCAGCAATCTGGTCCGAGACGTCCTCCGAGGCTGTCAGTCGACATAGCATCTATGGGGGTACGCGATGACCCCAATTCGGCCCTGGATGGCCTTGAGAGGGCCCCGAAACGGCCCAAGATGACCCTGAGAAGCCAGCCCTCCGAATCGTAACCCAGTTGTTGGTTGGTAACAGAATTGTCCGAAGACGTCCCCAGAGGCCCCCCCAGGGGCTCCCAGGAGGTCCGAAGACGCCCCCACAGATGGCCCCAGCATGCCTTGGAGAGTTCCCGAAGAAGCCGCCCAAGAGAGCACCATACATTTCCAACGCGTGAGATCGATAACACATCCTCCCCGAAAGCCATGCAAAAACCCTCTTTGCGTGGTCACAAGGAGAAAAGGGATGGGTCCCCTATTCACTAAAGTAATAAGGATCGGAAGAGCTTATTTCAGAGGGCTGGTGGGATTCGATGCTTCCCTAGCTTCGCCATTCTGCATCTGAGCTTAGGCTTGCTGCAGCTTCAGCGCCAGTGTAGTATTTGATTTGCACTCAGTTGCAGCATACCGTATGCACCATGGATGCGATTCTTGTGACCTGGGGCGGAGCTTGAATTACAATATGGGCGGACGAGTAGAGCTATCAGCCACGGTACCTCTACGACCCGGCGTTAGCGACATCTGTTGCGACGATCGTTCCGGCACGAGCGTATCGATGTTCGGTCAACCACAGCACGCGGAGCTCACTCCTTTCGGCAACCATCCGCGACCCCTCAGGCCTTAGCAACCGGAGCAGTGATAAAATCAGCAGTGGTCACCCAGCCCCGAGGAGTAGATCTTGCAGACAGCAGGGGCCCGTGACCCTCCTGGATTGGGCGCTTCATGTCCAGGTAGAGTATCCTTCAGCCAGTCACATTGTACGTCTCCACTCCAGATGGCCCGTAACAGAAGGGGCCTCAGGTCGAACAGGCTTCTGGAGGACTTTCATTCGAGCGAGTGGGCGAGATGCCGTTGGGCGCCAGGACCAGAACGGTTCGAAGATACTTGCTGCAGCAGCATTCTGAACGTTGCCCCTACCCTTGCTTCCTATCTCCTCCCTCTTTGCGCCTCGATCTTTCGGAGTTGGGGGTGCCTCTGGGCTGCTTCGTCCTTCGGCTCGCTGTGGATTCAGGCCAGCATGCAGGAGGCTGGTATACAAGAGAGCTGATCTTCAGCTGCCTGCGACAGTCCCGTCACCGTGTCGCCGCTGGCCCAGCATTATGGGTGGTGACTTTTTCGAGCGGGCACTGGAGGCCGTCACGCGCGACGCCTCGTGTTCCCAATCTTGGGAGAGCCGTGATGATGATGATGATGATGATGATGATGATGATGATGATGATGATGATGATGATGATGCGGATGATGCGGATGATGATGCTGATGATGATGATGAATGATGATGATGACGATGATGATGATGATGCCAATGCTGATGCTGATGCCGATGATGACTGACGATGCTGATGATGATGATGACGATG